CAAAAGAAACATTCAAAAATGAAATTTTTAGAATGAAATTTGATTAAACCACCTCAGTATTCTAACCATTAATTTTGCTCTGTGGTATTGTAAAGTATACATAACTTAAGAATAAACCATTACCTGCTATCTATTTTGCATTTTCATTAATCTTAACACATGTGTAGTTAGTTACCTGTATTTAGTGTGTGTATGTAGTGCACAAATTCTGCCAACTCGCTTTGCCTTTAACTGATTTCATTAGCACTAACATCCCTGTCAACAGAAGCACATCAGATAAGGTGTCTATTTGTAGACAAAAGAGAATCGATTCGGACGGAGCAGGATTAGCGTGTCACATCGTGCAGGTGGCACTTTAGCACGCAAACTGGCCAAATCTACCTAATGACCTTTCAATCGATCATCGGTGGTCGTGACAGCAAAGACTTCCACTTAGAGCCGAAATTGCGCATTTTTTTTTCGTGGATGGTGCAAACTTTTTGCGACCCAGCAACACCTTAACTTTGGTGAAAACTTCTCACGTGGCCTACCCTCGAGTTCAAATGAAACGACTGTAAAGGAAACTTCCACGCCGATTGACATTGGCCCAATATTTACTGTTTCAAACAAACCTCTAGTTTTCGTACAATAAAAGAGCTGAGAATAGCTCATTTTTCGCTTTCCTCTTTTCTTGCAAAGTAATCAAGCACACACATCTGTAAAATGAAACAACCCCGTGATTTTTGCCACCCGGACAGACTAGAGTCTCAGCGTTTGGCGGAAAAGCGCAACCGGCTGAGCGAGAAGCTCGCCCGTCGCGAGCGGAAGGAGAGGAAGAAGAAGCGCCGAGAGAGCTTGCCGACCGAGGAGCAGGAGGGGAGTGTTGGTGGTGGTGACTGCAGGTGCGCCCCGTGCATGCTGTGTGCGCTTGAAAGGAGTGGTTTCTCAAGTTTTCAAAAAAGAAAAAAGAAAAGAGTGTGACTGCTTTGACTTGCGAGGCGCATGTATGCGTCTGTCTGCGCCGGGTGTGCTTGGCGGCGGCGGCGCCCTCTCGTCGTCCTGGTGCTTGGCGCCGCCCTCCACTGCCCGGCGGGCACCCTGCTGACGCGCGGCTACCTTGTCCTATCAGGCGGCGATCCCTGATGGCTGACACGGAGGTTAACGGCGGCGGCGGCCGGGCCGACACCGAGTCGCCGGCGCGCGAGGCCCGCAAGGACAACAAGGACAGCGTGGTGTCGGTGCTCGAGGAGCAGGAGCGGCGGGAGCGCGAGGAGCGGAGGGAGCGCGAGGAGGAGAAGCGGCTCCGGGACCCGCCCATCGTCTTCAAGGACGCCTGCGACGTGCGCGTCGACTTCGACAAGCTGGTCGGCCTGATCGACGGCCAGCTCAGCCCGGAGGAGCAGCAGTCGCTGGAGGAGCTGCACCTGTACATGCTGGAGGACGAGGGATCGTGGGCGCTTGGGGACGGCTTCCTCAACTTTATCGGTGAGCTTACACAGCTGCCGCACACCTTGGGTTTCCCCCGAGGGGTCCTTCACAATAAATTCTAGCGTACACCGATTTTTCTGACTTTCTTGAATTTTTGTGATTTTTCTGACTTTTCGTTAATTGTTTTGTGATTTTTTTTCTAATTTTTTCGTATTTTTTTAAAATGGTGTACACTGATTATTTTTTTCGTAAGGGACCTCTCGGTCTCTTCCCTCCCCCCCCCCTTTATCCCCGGCTCGCATCTCACGGACGTTCTCTCGTCCACAGGCCGCCTGCTGCACGACAAGAGCCTGCCCTGCGAGGTGCGCGTGCACACGCTGCAGGTCCTGGCCGTGGCCGCGCTCAAGGACGACTCGATCCTCCTGCTGCACCAGGACAGGCGCGAGCACGTGCTCATGAACTACGCCTTCGACGTGGACCGCCTGTCGCTCGAGGAGCAGCGCGCGCTCGCCCTGTTTGTGAGTAGTCCGCCTTTACGACCTGGTCGCCCCCGGTCGCCCGAGGAACCCGCTTCTCACACGATGATGCCTTCCTCTCATTTAGGTGTGCAACCTGTTCGAGAACCTGAGCAGCTCCGAGTGGCTGCTGTACATCTCCGAGTGGCAGTACTGCAACAACAACATCAGCAACATTCGCGTCACGACCAAGGTGGCCGTGAACGCGCTGCTGTCCGAGGATGCCCTGCTCAAGGACCGGGGCTCCGCCATCATCCACAACCTGGCCTGCAAGGAGGTAAAAACCGTGGTCTGTATCTGCACTGGGTGACCCCGTGTCCCTCCGCCCGCCCGCCGGCCCGGCCCGCCCCCAGCTCAGCGCTATCATCATTTCATGCCAACCCCATGCGCCACTCATCGCCACGAAAGCACACATGCAATCCCGGGCGCGGCTCAGCACGCCATGGAGGTACCTCGCGGCCATCAGGACTTCATGGGGCCCAATCCATGGGACATCATTCGTCGGGCATACGACACTTAGTAGCATATCACACTTTACACGACGGTGGCAGCCGAAGGCGTGGGCACTGCATGGCTCTCTGAAAACGGGTCGTTTCGTTTTTGTAGAAAAGGAAGGTATTGCCTGGGTTTTTCTTATCTTTTTCAGAAAATGTTTCAAAGCGCTAAACTTAGAAGACTTTTGCCAAGAGGGTGCAAATCAAAGGTAGCAGTCGTTCGCCATTTTTATTATGTAATTTTTTTCTCTGGATGTTGCTGATGCCCTGCTGCACATGAGTGGGTGTAGGAGCCCCAGCATGGCGCTAGATCGGCGGCGCTAGACTACGCTAGAGAGGTCTTCGCTTGGCTGCAGCTACGCCCGGCTAGCTACTGCCATTGTCACTGTTCTTCCTTTCGAGCCATGCTAACGGCGACAGAATCTACCACAGATGGACTGCTATGGGACCTCTCTTCTAACAGAGTCCGCTTGCGGGGCGCGGAGTTGTGCCTCCCTCCTGCCCATGCACGCCATGCTCCCGCCCCGTCTGTGGACGCCGTGCTGCCACCTCCGGTGTAGGGCTCGCCCCGTGGTCGTGGTCTAGTCTCGCCCTGCTCGCGCGCTTGTCCTTGTGCCTGTGTCTCTTGTCTGCCTCCCGCACTAACAACACCGGCCGCGCCCCTAGGGGGTAGGCAGCCCGCCCGCGCGCCCGCCCGCGCGTTGCCTACGCCCCGGGCGCGCGGCTAGCTTCTCGTTAGCGCCAGCCCGCCCTGGTCCTTTGTCGCATCTTGGCTTTGCCCCCTGCACTGACCTACATCACGCTCGCTGCTCGCCCCCTGCCCTGCCCCTCCCCCTGCCCTTGACCCCTCCCTCCCCAGCGGCGGCGGCCGGACCCCCCCGGACTCACCGCGGACGTCTCTTCTCCGTCCTGCCGCAGGTGTTCGACGACGTGGCCGTGGAGCTCGCCATGGCGCTGCTGCAGTTCTTCAACAGCAACCCCAACGAGGACCAGCTGTTCCGCGCCATGAAGGCGCTGGCCCGCTTCTGCCAGGTGGCGCCCACCGACGTGCCGCAGCTCGTGCAGATGATCGGGCCCGAGCCCTCCAAGTTCAAGGGCACCTCCAAGAGGATCGACGAGCAGATCCAGCTGGTGCAGAGCAAGTTGCGCTAGGGTAGGATATCGTGGTGCCCGGGGGCCGGGGCGTAGAAAAGTGGCGCGTGGAAGAAAACGGAACTTTTTAAGAGCAATAGATTTTCAATTCGGTAAATGTATTTTAAAACTTCTTTTTTAGTAGTGCCTGTTGCAAATTTGTCTTTTGGTCTCGCTCGCGCATCTCGTGACCGTCCCCCGGAGTATTTCACTGATACAGACTGAAAAGCCGGCCGATCAATTAGAAGTAAAATGGAGGGAGTCCTGTGTATGGTGCAGGCGAGTTCTGTGATGTACATTAGTAATGGCTGTTTCTGCCTCTCGTCATGGCTCTGCTCTGCCAAGCGGTCGCTGTGGCAGGGGAAGGAGGGTGGGACCAATTTGCGTCTCTTGCCCAAACTATTTGAGTGTCAGTTCACTGCAACGAACGGTTGCATTCTACAATCGTTTTATAAGTCTTCTTTTTAGACAGTCCGCAAGACTGTCTGTATTTTTTGTTAATAATGTGTTTTTGCTGCATACTTACAATTTGTTTTAAAAAAAATCTGTCAGCTCCTTTAATTTATTGATAAAAGAAGTTGTCATAGCTTTTGCATTTTTTTACAAAGTAGTGGAGTTTGCATTTGTTTCTAAGGCAGTTTTGCGTTTTATAAAACATGCAATCTCCAGAATTGTGAGATTTTTTGGAGGACGCAGAGGGTACACTGTATACTTTTTTGTTAATACCTGTTTTATTTTCGAGAATGGAATGTATAATAATGATATTTACAAGTGAGGCGACAAATGTTTCAAAGATGTAAAAAAGCAATGAATTTTACGATTAATGATTTGTATATCTGTGTATAGTATATGTGATGACCACTATTAAATAAATTATGAAATTAGCACAAAAACTTCTCTGGTCATGCGTTTACTTAAATTAACGAAAATTCACTTCAATCGAGTACGTCTACATCCTGGGGCAGTGTGGCGGCCGCGAAGTTTGTTGGTGCGAGGACAACGCTCACTCACGCTGCGCTGTCGTTCTCGGAGTTGCCGATGAGGTACTTGGACATGCCGGCGTACACCCCTCCGCCCGCCGCCAGCATGGCGATCCCCACCAGGAGCGCGATGGACCAGGAGGGGATGGCGGTGCCTCCTGCCGAGGGCACAAGCACAAGTAGTACATTATACACTATAATGAATCACAAATGGGTTTGGACGCGGGCACCCGACGTGCCGCGGGGGCGTCCTTCAGAAACTCACTGTAGTACGTCCGGGTGATGGCTTTCCGGCCGCGCAGCACCTTCCTCCTGGCGTCCACGTCGTCCACCAGCAGACTCAGCACCACTGCGGACAGGACGCGCGTATGAGACATCTTGCGGGCAGTGTATAGATAAGTGCCGAGTGAGCCATACATCGGAACACACCCACACCCACAGCCCAACGGCGCAAAACTATTCAAAAGTGGCGCAGCGGGGGGCGGGGGCGGTGACAATGATCGGTGTATTCCACTGCCGCGGACCTTGTGCCGCCCCCGCCCTTGGGGGTGTGGCCTCCTGGCAGCGGGTGGCGCAACACACCGCGGGGCTGAGACGGCCAGGAGCACGTCGCCGTCGCCGCTTTGCCACAACACACAAAACCCTCAACCCTGCAAGGTGTGGTACTCACGCATGCCGACGGCGAGGAGGTACAAGCTCGTCCTCAGCTTCATGATGGCGTCGTCGGCGGCGTGGCCAGAAGAAACGGGGATGAAGGAGTGAAATCGAAGTTCGGCGGCGTCCTGTCCGTTGTCACGGCACGTCACGGTGTGGTGCCTGCGGCGCTGGGTGCGCTGGCCGCGGGCTACGGGCCGCGAGCGGAGGACGCTATCTTATCTCAGGTGGGAATTGGGGGGGGGG